TGGAAAGTGTGGCCAGGATCGGCAGACTAGTCATTATAAACAAATAAAGTGGACTTGACTCCAAAGTCTTCAAATAAATCAACAGCCTCCAAACAACACATTAATATCAACACAATATATATATATATAATATATATATATATTTTGATACAACCATTGATGAAATTTACTTGAGAGATCGGTTGAGTTTGGTAGGGCCATTTTAGGGTTCATTTTACTAAATTGATTCTAGAATAATAAATAAAGATTTTTTTTTTTTATCTCAAATGAATATTTAGATATTTAATACATTATGTGTGTTACTTGCTCTTAAAAAATAAAAATAAAAATAAATAAATAAAAAGTGGGGTGAAGTGTGGCCAGGACCGGCAGGCTAGTCATCTATAACGGTCACTTTGTTGTTTGGGGTCGTTTGACCCCTCTTAGGGCTTGTTTGGCCCCCATTTTGTGCCATTTTGGTGAGCTCCGGGACCACCTTGTTTTGACCTCCTCACCACTGAAATCTTGAGGGATTTCAGTGGTGAGGATGGTGGTTTAAGGTCCTAAGAAGGAGAGGGCCACCCCCTCTCCTTGTTGTCTTCAAAATGTGCCATTTAAGCCTCATGTGTGAGCACCATTTTTGAACTCATGTTGGCCATGTTTCAATAGGTATTTGGTAGTATTTTGCCATGCTTTACCTCTGTTTTTACTTGGTTTAGACACACCATGCTTGCCTTGCATGCATGTCTTGTAATGCCATGATTTGCCTTAACATGTACATAGCATTTAGACCTACCATGCTCATGTGTTTTGGCCTAGCTTTGTGAAGCTTTTATGCTTGTTTAAGTGTGCTTGAGGTCTGTTTTTGGTCATTTGGGTCATCCATGCTTCGCTTTGTATAGCTACCATGTAATCCCTCTTGTAGGCCTTAAGTATCGGACCCTCTAGCATGCTATCCTTGCATCATTTCAGTGGCTTAGAACCACTTATAGCGTCATTTCAGTCCTCATGGCATGCTTGTATGCTTGCATTTGATGTCCCTTTAATGCTTTATAAAGTTGTCATCTTATGCTCCATGTTTGGCCTATTTTGTATGCTTGCATGTTTAAACCATTTAGACGCCATCTAGGTGTGTCTTTGGTCTTGTTTAGACCTGCATTGGGGCTATTTGGAGTCCCCTTGGCCCTCTGAGGCTTGGTTGGCATAGCCATGGTTTGAGCCCTTTGGTTGGCCTCAAGCTTTGGGCTTGTTAGCATGCTTTGATTGCTTGGTTTAGGATGGTTTGGCACCATCCTCATGTGATTTTCAGAGATTATATTGCTTGCCATATGCCCATGTTTAGCCTCTTTTAAGTGTGCTTAGAAGTTGCTCTTTGATGCCTAAGTGATGGACCATGTTTGCATGCATGCTTGTATGTGCATTTGGCCCCCATTTCCTTAGCATTGGCCACTGTTTTGGGCCTAGTTGAGGGCTGCCCAAATTGGTTTAAGTCCACCCTTTATGTGTTGGTGCATGCTTACCATGTGTGTTGTTGCATGTTTAGGTTGTTTAACATGTTGCTACATATTTACCCCATGTGTTGTTGCATGATTGAATGAGGTCACATGCTTGCTTGCATGCTTGACCATCCCCATTATATCGGGCATACTTATTGATTAGCATGATTGTCACATGCCTTGAATGCTTGTTCGCATTG